AATAGGCGTAATGGTAACATCTAGCCCAGGTCTCTGGTGTAGTTTTAAAGCGGCTGTCTGCAATAGTCACAATACTTATTTCAATGAACTATAATCTTTAACATTTTCATTTTGACATAGTTTAACGGTGTGTTAGTTGTGCTAGTGTAGTCAAAATCTAGTAAAGCGGTTATTTTGACATTCCCACACATTCCACCTGAACCAAGGGTCGCTCGTGAACAGTACAGCTCCCACAAGCTTGTCACGGTGTTTCGATTTGCTTGACAATATTTATTTATTTATTTATTATTTATTTATTGCTTGATTGATCTATCTACTTATCCATTTATTCATTAATTTATTCGTTTATTTATTCGTTCATTTATTTATTTATTTTTGCAGATGGGTTTTCAGTTCGCCTTGTGACAGATCTGGAGCAGACACTGACGATCCTGGTACCCCATTCCTTCCTGTTGTCAGTCTTCTTGATCAGCTCGGTTTTTATCTTTGTGTTATTCCTTGTTAAGTTGTTCAGGCCATCTGAGTACATGTTGTATGTTGTTCTTTGTCTTCCTTTGTTCTTCTTTCCCTGTATCTCTCCACACAACAGCAGTTTTTCTTGCCCATTTAATATATTATGTAACCAATAAATCCCAATTCTTCCGAGACTATTGTGAGTAAAAAGTGACAAATAGAAATCATTTCCGTTTTGCATTTGGTGAATTTTCCTGTTTTAAGAATGGTTTTAGCTGAAAGCTTCAAACAGATTTGATTGATATCAACCAAAACATTATTCTTAATCAATAGCTTGAGTTGTGAAGTTAAAAATTAATATTAATGGGTTAAATAGTATGAATAATGTTCGTCAGCAGTGGAAAAAGCTAACTAATAAATTGACAAACTAACCAACCAACAAACTAACTAACTAACTAACTAACTAACTAACTAACTAACTAACTAACTAACTAACTGACTGACTAACAAACAAACTAACTAAGTAACTAAATAAACCCCCTTTATTTTCTTTTGCTATTTTCAAGCAGCGTCCTTCTTTCCCGACTGATGCTTTGTCCTAATTGGATAAATGACTGAATACTACCTCCAACGAATCACTTAGTCCCCTAAGCACTTCTCAACATACTCTGTCTATCAGTAGGAAACATCAGCGTGTGAGTCAAACAACATAATTGAAGGGGTCATTTCAATAACGTACCTAAGTCCATTTTTTGGGGGCGAAAATCTAGATGTTTGAATAGGAGGATAAAAGAAAGGAGACTGCACCCTGTCAGCCTTCTATGGAGACTGTATCTTTGATTTTTAGAGCAACGTCCTCTGTTTTAGCTCGTCTTTCCAGTGCAATACTACATTAATGAGAAACAATGTTTGGCCTTTTTCTCAACACTACCCTAGTGTGACTTAGGTACGTTATTGAAGTAACCCATTCAATTGTAAACTTTTAACGCACTCATCTCTGGTCAGCACGACAGAAGGAAAAGGAATAACAGTGAAAACGAGCAGTTCCTCGTAATCTGAAACCCATGCAGAGTGCATTCATGGGGAGGAAGCACGCTTGGATGATTTCCCCCTTAAAACCCCTTCCGCGCCGTTTTTAAAGCGTGGGGGTTTCGAGCACCACATTCTCCCCTTGCTCCAGTGATATTTCTGGAGTGTGCTATTTTCGCTTCTTGTTTTCATTGATAGTGCAGCTACGTAGGCCCATAGTTCATTGAGAAAAAACCCCGACGTATGACGTTACGTGATTGTTGAGTTTGTATTTTGTGGAGTTCAGTGGGCGTGCGCTTTTTTGTGTTATGTGTTTGTGTGTGCATGTGTGTGTGTG